AATGTCCCTTGATGTATGTGCATGTTTTTGTGAGTGCGTTAAAAATAGAAATACAATTGAAATAACACTATCTTTTGGATTTGTCGGCGGAAAATATTGGACTATAATATGGAGAATTAATGGTAAATTTTAACAGCTTCTAATGATATTAAAAATTGAGAAAAATACTATATAAACTATTTTCCAAGCATGGATCCATTGCTTTACACACTAAGGTAGACAAATTTGTGTAATGACAAGTATTTGCCATAAAAGTTAAACACCACAGGGATTTGCTGTTTTATAAATATAAATAAGTTTGGAAAATATATTTCTGGAATGGGTAGGAACAATCAAAATAAAAGAGATGGGAACAGGTCGATTAATAGTAGCAAAAATTACGAGACACGTTCTAATATAAAAAACAAAAGACAATTACTACATTTGAAGATTCAAATTTACACATTAAGACGAAAAAAATGAAACTATAGCTGAAAGCAATAATTATGATGTTGCAGAACAGCTGAAACAGATTAACAAAACGTTAGAAAATGTAATAACGAAGGATGATACATTCTTGAGAAATCTAGTAAAAGATGTTAAATTTGAGAGGCGATCTGAATATTCTTCATCAATTATGAAAAAAACTAGAAATTATGGAAACCCATGTTTGACTATGTGAAGGAAAATGCCAAGCTGAAATCACAAAATTTGAACTTAAAAAAACCCATTAAAGCTAAGGATAATGATCACACGGACATAATACGATTGAAAAGGTACCAAAATCACATGGTGAAGAACACAATGATCAGGCTAAAAAAATTGCGGACGATATAAAGTTGGAATTCATTGTGAATATAAGTAACGAACAAAATGACATGATTGTGCGATAAGAGATGATGCATTTACTATACGGGTAAATTGGACGCTGAAACCCCCTCATTTTCGAGTAAAATGTATCTATTTTAAACGTTGTTTAATGTAAAATGGAATAGAAAATCGTTTACAACTGTTATTATTGCATCATTCGTTATTTTATATGATTCCGATTTATTTAAGAAATAATGAGAGCATGAGAGGTGTTTATCGGCTATTTAACACCGGTTTGGAGTTTTGATGCGTAGGAATGTAGGACTGAATAATTATTTTTTCGCATCAAACGACAACACCGGTGTTAATTTGCCGATAAACACCGTTCAGACCGATCTTAACAAGACAAAATAAGGAAGATCACTTATGCTATTTTTCAAGCGGAATTAACTTCCCGTGCCGATTTTCGTATTACGCTGTTCGATTTCGCATTTACTGTTTCTAAGATAAGATACATGTATTATTAAACAAAAGAACTAATAAAGAAAAAATGTTATTTTATCAAGGTTTCAACAATTAAAACTTACGTGTCAGACAGGATTTATTGTGTTTACATCAGGACACGATTAATCATTCTTGTCAGTTTAAAATGACGTCATTCTAGCGTCTTTATGAATGAGTTGTATACTTAGGATGACATCATTACGCTGCTTACTAATTGGCGCCGAATTGTCATATATAGATGATATCAAATGAGTGTAGTTTAATACTCAATTTACTGAACGAGTTGAATAAAACCACATTATGCGAGCCTGTAGCGAGCATACTATAGTTTTATTCAATGAGTTCAATAAATTTAGTTTTGAATCTACACGAATATAATATTCTATTTATCACATTAATAAAATAAAAACATTCAGCTGTTAGAATGAGTAATGTTTCAATAGCGCCCATAGTGTAACGCTAACTTAAGCGCGCTTTAACACTATTTTTCTATATAGCGTAATTGACGTCACGTCAAAGTGTTAAAACACTAGTGTCATATAGTTTTTATTACACTCCTGCGCCGCGGTTTATGTCATAAAAAATTATGAACTGATATGGATCAAACCTGTGACGGTAGTGTATGTAATATATTTTTTCAGTATTATAAAAAAAGTAAACATTGTAAGAACGGAAAATATCAATTAAAATGCGTTATTAGTGTTGTCTTAAAAGATGGTAACTTTATTATCGAGAGAATAAAAAGTAACCGCCAGAAATACAAATTGGCAGTTTAACGGCGTTTTTCTTCACCTTTGTGTATGGTGACAAAATTAGTGTTAAAATTATGGATAAATTTATAGGATATTTTGATAAACATGTAATTCGTCAATACTTATTTTCAATTGAAGAATAATATATCCCAAACTGTGATTTTATCGCTCAATAAAATCACAGTTTGAAGTTTGGATGCGAGGATATATATCAAGAGGGCGAAGCCTGTGTGATATAATGATGCGCATCCGAACGACAAACAGTGATTTTATCAAGAGATAAAATCACCCATTTTGGATATATTATTTCGATTCTAATACGACATCATCAAATAAATAATGCCGTACCTGATATCAAGCTAAATTGCGCCTGATTTGTTTATGTAGTTATTTTCAGCGCGTCACATTTTTAGTGAGTACGTCAAGTGTATAATGATTACGTCACATGTCTAAATATAGAACGTCAATCAGAGATTTTATTGCATAATAACACACACTTTCGGTTCTTCTATGTTCAATACGGTAAAATGCGGGTCGTGTTAAAATTTCCGATAACATCTCGTCATCTCTTCGTCAAGGGTCTAGGACCAGAGCACAATGTCAAACCCATGATTGTGGTTTATGAACTGTTTACACCGGTGCTAGAAAAACCTGTCGCGTGCTTTAAATGACGTAATTCCCGTGCGCCTTTTATGATTGAATTGCGTTCTTAGGATGACATCATTAACCGTGAATGAAGTTGTAAATTCTTACGCTACTATAAGAAAATAGTGCTTAAAGAAAACATTAGTTATCGTTATTCTTGTTTGTAAAAAAATGACATGTAGTATGCAAGACAAAGAATCAAACACCAGCTGTCGGTATTTAGCTCTCAGGTAACAATGAATCGGAAACACGACAGAACCTCGGAACCGCCCTAAACAGTTTCCCGTGAGCTACATATTCCGGTCTGTATTGACAGCTGGTATTTGATTCCTACTTTTGCAGCCAGCTTAAGATTTTATAGCATTATCATCAACTTCGTTATTGTTTTCTTCTTCTATAAAACCTTTTCCATTATTGCCCTCTTATCCTCTGTACAATTCTTTGAACTCATTCAGTTTTTCCCTAAAATTCCCGAAATATCTTAAATTCATCTTCTTTGTTTGTTTTTTTTTCTAAAAAATAATGGATGGGGCCATTACCTTATGAAAGAGGAATTTTTGCTGATTCAGATGGGCGCTATACCACCATATGTGAGAGAGAAATATGTCTATAAAATTCACCTATGCTAAATTTGGAGATCCATATTGAGTTCAACCCCCACCCCCGTGGTATCGTAGACTGCTAATGGTGTTAAATATCACGTTACAATAATAACTTCGAGCTAATATATTATTTGTTGATTATGTGCGGTCTTAATTATCAATGTCAGCGTACTTTAATATAACATACTTTATACTGTATAACACATACTATTGTTGCAGTCTACAGCAATTTATGTGTAAGTAAATTTATGCATTTCTGTAACCTGGATAATATTATAAAAACGCGAAAGAAATGAACAAATAATCTTTTGACATGACGGGACCCAAAATATTTTTTTTCGAAATCGATGCTCCATTTGATAATTACTTGAGTCAAAAATTTCAGATCATTCGCTCAATCCATTTTCTTCAGAATAATTATTCTAATTGTAAAAAATGACCCAAAATTTACTAGCGATGCAACGCTTTCATATAAATTAGGCTAAAAATAACATAAAAAGCGATGTTCTTTTCTTAGTGTATTTCTTGATTATTCTATGCATATTTTTCTGTTTTTAGTATACCGGCAGATTAATGTAGCAAATTCAAATTTTATATTTCAAGGCTTATACACCTCGGTGGAGTTTAAATGTTATATGGAAATCAATATCAAATCTAATTATTGTCATAGAAATTACTCAATATTTCACGAACTGCACATATCCCTTTTCGAAAGAAACCAAAAACAAACACTTTTAATTGTAGGGTTTAAAATTAAATTTTTAGAGAAATTATGAAATCATTATAAGCAGCACTCTTCCAGAAAATCGTGGTACTAATATTTAAAAATTTCTTTCAAAGTACATCATAATATGACTAACAAACGTAAAATGTTTTGACATCTTTGTTTTGAAATTTTTGAAACAAAGTGATCCCTCGGAAGCATTAATTACAACAAAATTAAAAGAGAATTGCAGACTCGATTTGATTGGGTCTGACATGAGGGATAATGAATACATGCAACATCCCTCACGTCCCCTTGCATCGGCTTGATCGTCACTCAGTTCTCAACACTTAATAGTGCTGACCTGAAACAGACAGTTATATTACTTATGCAATTATAGTGTAGTTTCAGGTACCATGTGACAGCGGTTGAAAAGGCACTGAATGGTGGGATTTTTCTACGCAGCATATTAAGATATGATAAAAAAAAATCAGGTTTTGATGACAATTTTGTCTTTTTATTAAATAGATGAAGAGGTCTACTAGAAAGAATATGACCATACTTATATGAACGTCACAATATTTTTCCTTTAAATCAATGCAGATTGTATAAATTGCCCATATATAATCAGGCTGATAGCAATAAAAAATTACTAACATTACATGATGTAATAACAACAGATAGCAAGTCCGTCTGTACATTCGTACTTTGATATTTTGATTACTGCAAACTTTAATTATTATAAAATGAATTATCAAATAAAATTTTACTGATGAGTTTTTCTTTACTTTTACGTTGTTTTTTCTTCTTCTTTTTGTATGATTTAATTAAACGAAACATTCTTATATCAAATACCTTACTTCTAGAACAATCAAATGATATATATGTTTTGATATAGATCATTGCATCAAAACGTGAGCAATTTCCGTGTAAAGAAGAAAACAACATCCAGCTTATACGAAATTATATCATGTAACATGCTGAATAAAAAGTTTGATTACTAACCTGTATTTAAATAGCTAACAAAAATTAAGATGATAATCCACCTTAGATCATCCTTGATGATTGAAGGGAAATTATTTCCACAACACTGACTGCATAGTAAAAGTTCTTGTAAAACAATTAAAAAAGATTAAATTAAAATATATTTGGAAAACGAAATAATCCGCGGAGTGATTTGATGCGCTTCTTCCTGCTAGTAGCTAGAGCTGAAGCAAACTCATGTGAGAAGAGATATGAGTCTTTATATTCAACAAAAATTAAATGGCAATGTTTGGCATTTCCTTGCATAAACATTTATATTAATGTATGCATTGACCAATTGGTTAGCCTTAAAAGTATTGGCGTTTTCGTTTGTATTTAAATGTGTTTTGTAATTCCATAACTATATGGCATCTATATGACATTTAGTTATCTTGTATTGTTTGTCCAATTTGGTAATTGTGGTGTGAAAAAAATATATACAAAAGTAACAGATAAAAGGGTCTCTGTAATGAGATATTCCTAATATTCTGTTGTGTAAATTTCGCAAAATATGACATTGCCTAACCTATTAACAATTCGTTTCCGCAAACTGATATTTGCATAAAGTGATTATTACCTAATATCAAAATGCCAGATCATGCTATCTTATTATTTATCTGCTTTTATTGCCACCATCCTTGTCAGTAGATCACCTTAATAACGCCATGATTCATATGTGTATTTCTATGTTTAGGTAGGTTTTACGTCGCACCAACACAGTATAGACCATATGGCGACTTTCCAGTTTTAATGATGGTTGAAGGACCTCAGGTGCACTTGTGTAGAACCATCGACGTTCCGTAACAAGTTGTATTGAACATTGCAGTCACATTATCAAAATTGCAGATTATCAGAAATACTTATTTATGCTTATGGAAATGTGTTTATTTGTTGTATTTTTTTTCGGGGGAAGGGAGGATTTTTGTTGCACCAACACCGTCAAGGTCACGTGACAACGTAAAATAAACTTTCAAAAGCACAAAATGTAACCCCCACCCCCGCCACACACACACACACACACACACACACGCACGCACGCACACACACAACCTGTTTTTGTACACATCTTTATATACTTGATGCAAGCAATTTAAGAGTGCAACCCGTTTTTACACAAGTATAAATACCTTATATGGATTAAATTTAAGAATTCAACCCGTTTTTTTGGTACCCACGTATATAGCCCCCCCCCCCAAAAAAAAAAAAAAAAGATAATATATAAGAGATAAGACTGTAACCCGTTTTTGCACACACCTATATAACCCAAAGATAACCTATCAAGAGTGTAACCCGTTTTTGTACATACACACATACGTTAAATGGATTCAATTTCAGAGTGCGACCGGTTATTGTACACACCTACATGGCCAAAATAGACTCTACGTAAGAGTGTAACCCGTTTTTTGCACACATAAATACATTGAATCGATTCAATTTAAGAGTGCAACCCGTTTTTGTACACACCTATATAGCCAAAAAAGATTGTATATCAGACATAGGACTGTAACCCGTTTTTGCACACACCTATTTACCCGAAAAAGATTCAATTAAGAGTGTAACCCGTTTTTGCACAAACATGCAAACGTTAAATGGATTCAATTTCAGAGTGCAACCCGTTTTTGTACACATCTCATGGCCAGATAAGGGTCTACATGTCACCCGTTTTCGCACACACACAAATTCATTGCATTGATTCAATTTAAGAGTGCAACCTGTTTTTGTACACATCTATGCATGTATCTAAGATGTAAGAATGCAACCTTTTTTTGTACATACATAAACCCGTTAATTAGAAAGAAAAAAAATAAAGAGTGTAACCCGTTTTTGTATACACATTTATACCTTGAATGGCTTCATTTGGAGAGTGCAACCCGTTTTCGTACGTATCCATATGGCCACAATATATTTTTTATAAGACTGCTACACACCTACATACCCTAAAACATTGAATTTAACAGTGTAACCCATTTTTGTACACACCTTTATACAGAAGAGATTCAATTCAAGAGTGCTACCCGCTTTTGTACTCATCTATATTCACATGATACATACAATTTAAGAGTGCAACCCGTTTTTGCACACGTATAAATACCGTATTAAGATTAAGTTTAAGATTGCAACCTGTTTTTGTGCATACATAAACACGTTAAATAGAATAAATTTAAGAATGTAACCCGTTTTTTGCACATACATATATATCCTAAAAGCAGTTAATTTTACAGTGTAACCCGTTTTTGTACACATCTATATACACTTGATGCATGCACTTTAAAGTGTAACCCGTTTTTGCACACATATAAACCTTATATAAATTAAATTTAAGAATGCAATCCGTTTTTGCACACACCTATATACCCTTATAACTGATAATTTAACAGTGTAACCCATTTTTGTACACATCTATATGCACTTAATACATGCACTTAAAGAGTGCAACCCGTTTTTGCACACATATAAATACCTTATATGGATTAAAGGATTAAATCTAAAAATGCAACAGGTTTTTGTACACACCTGTTTAGCCAAAATAGATTGAATATAAGTGTGTTAACCCTTTTTAGCACACACACACCCCAAAGTGATTCAATTAAAAGTGTAAGACGTTTTTTTACATACATACATACATACATACATACATACATACATACATACATACATACATACATACATACATACATACATACATACATACATACATACATACATAACATAACATACATAACATACATACATACATACATACATACATACATACATACATACATACATAACATTACATAACATAACATAACATAACATACATACATACATACATACATACATACATACATACATACATACATACACGGGTTACACTCTTTAATTTTATCTCATTAACGTGTTTATGTATGTACAAAACAGGTTGCATTCTTAAAGCTGATCTGTATATGGTATTTATAAGTGTGCAAAAACGGTCTGCACTCTTGAATTGAATCTCTTTACGGTATAAAGGTTTGTGCAAAAACGGGTTACTATCTTACATACATTTTTTTTTGGGTTATATAGGTGTGTACAAAAACAGGTTGCACTCTGAAATTGAATCAATGCAATGATTTCATGTGTGCGAAAACGGGTTACACTCTTATGTAGACCGTTTTTTGGCCATGTAGATGTGTACAAAAACGAGTTGCACTCTTAAATTGAATCAATTCAATGTATTTATGTGTGCAAAAACGGGTTACACTCTTACGTAGAGACTATTTTGGCCATGTAGGTGTGTACAATAACGGGTTGCACTCTGAAATTGAATCCATTTAACGTATGTATGTATGTACAAAAACGGGTTACACTCTTAATTGAATCTCTTTGGGGTATATAGGTGCAAAAATGGGTTACAGTCTTATGTCTTATATATAATCTTTTTTGGCTTTATAGGTGGGTACAAAAACGAGTTGCATTCTTAAATTTAATCTATATTAGGTATTTGTACGTGTGCAAAAACCTGTTGCATTCTTAAAGTGCATATATCAAGTGAAAATAGATGTGTACAAAAACGGGTTACATAGTTCAGTTTTTTAGGGTATATAGCTGTGTGCAAAAACGGGCACATTCTTATAAAGAATCTAATCAGGCTATATATAGATGCGTATAAAAAAGGGTTGCACTCTTAAAATGAAGCAATTCAAGGTATATATGTATGTGCAAAAACGGGTCACACTCTTACATTTATTCTAATTAACGTGTTTATGTAAGTACAAAAACAGGTTGCATTCTTAAACTTAATCTATATACGGTATTTTTACGTGTGCAATAATGGGTTGCACTTTGAAATTTTATGTATCAAGTGAATATAGATGTGAATAAAAGCGGATTGCACTCTTGAATTGAATCTCTTCTGTATAAAGGTGTGTACAAAAACGGGTTACACTCTTAAATTTAATCCATATAAGGTATTTATACTTGTGTAAAAACGGGTTGCACTCTTATAAAGAATCTATTGCGGCCATATAGATACTTACAAAAACGGGTTGCACTCTTAAAATGAAGCCATTCAAGGTGAAAATGTGTATGCAAAAACGTGTTACACTCTTTAATTGTTTTCAAATTAACGTGTTTCTGTATGTCCAAAAACAGGTTGCATTCTTTAATCTGGTCTATATATGGTATTTATAAGTGAGCAAATACGGTCTGCAATCTTGAATTGAATCTCTTTACGGTATAAAGGTGTGTGTGCAAAAACGGGTTACTCTCTTGCATACAATTTTTTTGGCTATATAGGTGTGTACAAAAACAGGTCGTACTCTTTAATTGAATCAATGCAATGAATTCATGTGTGCGAAAACGGATTACATTCTTATGTAGACCCTTTTTGGCCATGTAGATGTGTACAAAAACGTGTTGCACTCTGAAATTGAATTCATTTAACGTATGTATGTTCGTACAAAAACGGGTTACACACTTAATTGAGTGTCTTTGGGGTATATTGGTGTGTGAAAAAACAGGTTACAATCCTATGTCTGAGATACAATCTTTTTTGGCTATATAGTTGTGTACAAAAACGGGTTGCACTCTTAAATTGAATCAATTCAATGCATCTATGTGTGCAAAAACTGGTTACACTTTTACGTAGAGTCTATTTTGGCCATGTAGGTGTGTACAATATCGGGTTGCAATCTAAAATTTAATCCATTTAAAGCATGTATGTATGTACAAAAACGGGTTACACGCTTTAATTTTTTCTAATTAACGTGTTTATGTATGTACAAAAACAGGTTGCCTAATAAATCTAATCTAGTTATGGCATTTAAAAGTGTGCAAAAACGGGTTGCACTTAGTCGTGGCCACAAGATAATTAAGTCGTGGGCATGAGATACTATATCGTGGCCACAAGTTACTAATTTGTGAGCACGAGATAAATAAGTCAAGTAACAAGATTGGTTAATTATCTCGTGCGCACGACTGGACTAACTCGTTGCCACGACTTAGTAACTCAAGGCCACGACATAGTATCTCGTGCGCACGAGATAAATAAAAACACACACATGTCACCTTTGTGCCACCGTAAATATCTCATAGCATCTTATAATACGCTTTTAAAAATCTGGATAAAGTTTGATCCCTCGAAAGCATTAATTACAACAAAATTAAATGGAAAATGCAGTC